AGGAGCAAGAATTAAAATTAAAGGGAATAATTATTCCCAAATATATACGTCTTCGTGGATTACCTTGGTCGGCTAGACATCAAGAAATATTAGATTTTTTAAAAAATGTTAATGTAATTGACGGTTCCAAGGGCATACATTTAGTGACTAATCGTTGGGATGGAAAGAACACTGGTGAAGCTTATGTCGAAGTGGAGAGTGCAAAAGATGTAGAGGAAGCACGTAAATTGAACAAAGCATCTATGGGACATCGGTATATAGAAGGTATCATAATAGTTTATATAATAAAATTTCATTTCTAATTTAAATGATTACATATCCAGTGTTTACTGCTTCTTCTAAGGAGGCAAAGGAAGCCATGCGTAAAACTAGTAGTCATGGTATGTCTTACGTTGTCAAGTTACGTGGCTTACCCTATGCTGTAACGGAGCAGCAAATCGAGGAATTCTTTAATGGTAAGTGAAAGAATTTTGACAAAAATGTTCAATATACTTCCAATTCATTGTGAAACTTGCATGTTTTGTTTGGAGAAATATATTACATATATATATTTTTTTTGGATTTCAATAAAAAATTGCTAAACCCGTCGTCAGGCAAGTTGTTATTATTGCATTAGTAACTTCAAATAACAGACCATGGGCAAAAGCTTTTTGTTCCATATAAATTTTTTGTTTTTGAAAAATTCTGGTTCTTTTGTTTCTCAAAATTACAATTAAGTCTTACATAAAATTATATGTTTATTTTGTTATTTTTATGATATAAGAAATAAGTATAGGTTAAACGTACACACTTTATTATGGTAAAATCTTTAGCATTACAATAGAAGCTTTCATAGCATATTAGCAATTTATTGTATTATATCACTTTGGTTGTCGTCATGGGCAGGGTTGGAAATCAAACCGGATCGGGAGGGGATTCTTTTTGTTATGGACAGAAGGGGTCGTGCAACAGGGGAAGCATTTGTTCAGTTTGAAAGCCAGGAAGACACTGAACAAGCCTTGGGACGAAATCGGGAAAAAATTGGGCACAGGTGGGTTGTCTTATGTCGTTTCTTAAAAATTTAATATGGTAACTAAGAATATTCTTAACTCAATATATTATGAAGCAATAATTTTTAATTTCAGTATTTATATAAAGCATCCAAGGAATTTTCATAAAAGTTATAAGAAATTTCCGTTGCATATTTAGAATGGGGTAAATGCTGTTAACATGAAAATGCATTTTAATCCATTTTAAATTACATAAAAAAATTTACTCTAATTACGGGCTATCGGGTTATGGCTGGGTTCTTTACCACGCACGCATACATTGTTCAATGCTAAAACTTATTAAAACTTGATGTCGCATTTAGAACACAATTTACACACATACACAATTATATAATTTACAATTGAATAACCATTGAACAGAACCATTACTGTACAAGTTAATTTAATAGTTTTAAACATATCCTTAGGTACATTGAAATTTTTCGCAGTTCTTTGGCTGAATTAAAACGTGCAGCATCAGGTAATGGACGACCCAGTCCATATGATATTAGAGACCGTGGGGGAAACCGTGGCAACGATTATGGACGCAACAATATGCGCGGTAACAATGGTAATATATGTCATACTAAAATATTTAATATTATTGAAAATTAAATTTAAAATTTTTATATATTTTTTCAAAGATTGGGGTGGCAATGGTGGCAATGGTGGCAGTTTTGGCATCGGTGCCAATAACACTTTGGGATTCAATAACTTGCCCGGACTAATGAATTCTGGAAATTTTGGAAATAGTTTTGGGTCTAACAATGGCAACGGTGGAAATTTTGGCAACAATTTTGGAAATAACGGAGGAGGTTTCGGCAATGGAAATAACAACAATAGTGGTTTCGGTGGCAATAATCGTTTTAATAATAGTAATGGAAACTTTGGAAACGATTTTGGAGATTTTAATAATTTTGGTAATAATCGAAATTTCAACAACGGCAATGGCAATAACAATGATTTTGGTGGTAACAATATGCGTGGTAATAACGGCAACAATTTCGGAAATAATAATTTTGGTAACGGCAATAATATGGGAAGCAGTGGATTTAATGGTAACAATCATGGTAATAACTTTGGACCAATCGGTGGAGGACGTTCTGAAAGTGAATATTTTACTATACACATGCGAGGTCTACCTTACTCATCCTTTGAAAATGATGTTTTTAAGGTAATGTAACAGTTTGAAAATAATTGGATAGAAGTAGTGGATAGTATATATATATATATATATATATAATATGTATATATATACATAATATGTATGATATGTAATATATAATATGTAATATATAATATGTAGTAAATAATATGTAATATTTAGTATAAAATATTTATATAATTGTAAACTATATAGCAAGATTATTACCCTTCGTTGCCAAAATTGCTTCAAAGCATAAATATTTTTTTCCTTTAAATTATCGCATCTATTGTTTTTTTATTAATAGCAGATTTTTAATTGATCAAATTTGTAGATTGCGTTAATGTGATCTCAAATTGCATAAAGTCGTAATTTAACAGTGCATTTGTTGGCAATGTACATATTAATTTAATTTAAAGAAATGTTACTAAAAATGGCTTTAAGTTACTATAATGGTTCAACAATTATAATTAAAACAGTTTAAAATTAATTTATATGATTTGTATAGTAAATATAGTGTCTATATGTATTATTATTTTTCCAGTTCTTCGATCCAATGCGGCCAGCTAATGTACGCATAAACTTCAATAAAAAAGGCTTGCACAGTGGTACTGCTGATGCCTTTTTTGATACTTATGAGGACGCCCAATTGGCTATGAAGAGACATAGAGAGCAAATGGGCTCCCGTTATATTGAATTATTTTTTGATGGAAAAACTAAGAGTAATAATAATTTTTCACGACGCATTTAAATGATAAAAATTTCAATTTACTGTAATATGTAGAATTATTTGAAACAAATTAATGTCACACAATATTACTTATTATGTAAAAATACTAAATAAATTATAAATAATATTTGTTTCATTTATTTCTAAAAACAGTATATACTAAGCAATAATCTGGTAAAAATTAAAAATTTGATATCCTCTGAACTCAATTACAATATTATACTTAATGTATTTTTATATAATTTAGTATTAACATTAAGAAACTTATACAGTCATTGAAAGACAACATTGAATGTTTGAATTAATAAATAAATCTTAATATGAAACATTGAACTGTTTGATTTATACAAATATCGACCATGTTAGATGAAAAAATTTCTTTAATGGGGAAATTTTGAATTTACTTAAAGCAGATTTAAAAAAAAAACCGATTGTTATAGTTGCACAATTCTGACAAGAATGTTTTTTTTTGAAAGAAGAATTCGAAAAAAGTTCGAAAATTTCTTCCAAGTTTCGTTCTCTCTTTAATGGTATCCAAGAATATAACGACTAAGACTTCAAATCAAGAGAAAAATACATCACATACTTTGACAATATGGTCTGATAGTTCAGTGTAAGAAAAATACGAATGGTAAAAACTTTGGCGAATTACAATCAATGAGCAAAAATGTCGTCATATAATATTTTTTTTTAACAGATCCAACTCACCAAATATCATTCTCAACGGAATTGTATTACCGCAAATAGAAAGAGCGACATACCTTGGTATTCACATTCACCTTGACAATCGCTTGACTTGGCGGAAATATATTGAAACAAAAAGGATATTGAAACAAAAAGGATGCTTAAGTCTTTAAGCCTTCGCTGGAAAATCATTAAGTCATTAAACCAATTTGGATGTATGGGTTACAGCTTTATGCCAATGCACATTCGTGAAACGTAGAAATCATCCAAATAACTTAAGTTGAAGTTCTAAGAATGATAACTGTTGCACCCGTGAATATCGCAAATGAAAACATACATTTCCATTGGGAAGTTCCGATGGTTAAATTGAAATTTGAAAATGCTACACAGGCTTTACTCGAACCAGTTGTTTGATTTGAATTTAAATTTTTGTATTGTGTATTTGCGCGACACTGGTGTTCCCATCAGACTTTATTACTCTCAGTTTGAACTTTACTTGTGTTTTACTTGAGTTTTACTACGAGTAGCTCGTGGAACAGATCTATAATGCATCAATGAGCATTTTGTCGTTACTTCAAATATTTCTAAAATACTTACATAAAAAATAATAAAAAATAATGTGTATATACAGCAAGATTTTTTAACAATTTATTTTTATAACTTGTAAAATATGACACCTTCAAAACTTATTGTATTTATTTAATGTGATTGACTTTACAAACAAAAGCAATTTATAGCTTTTACAAAGACCGTAATATTATAAGGAGGTCACGATATAAGAAATATCAAAGACCGTAACATTACGGTTTTTATATTAATACGGTCTTTGTTACATATAAAGTACTGTACTATGTACCGTACTGTACTAACTATGAAAAATGATCTGAATTTCAAACAAAACGTTTTAAATAACGAAATGGTTAGTGGCACCACTATTAGAAAAATAAATGCCGCTTTTGGCGTTTTTTAATTTTAAAAAATTTTACTCTTCAATAAATTATCGTTTTTTTTCTCCTTTAAACAGAAAAAAATAACGTTTTTAATAAAACAGGTGTTTAAGTCAGGATATATTAAAATCCGGATTTCAGTTTCTATAATTAGAAATACATATAATAATTATGTAATATAATTAGAAATAATTAGAAATAAACAATATTTTTTCATATTGTTACCTAAAATTATCTTTTTTCCTCCTATGAAAATAGGAGGAAGTAAAGTAAAGTATAATAGATATTAATAACATTAAATAAAAATGATTTTGATGTATTTTTTATATGAAACTTGTTAAGAAAATCAAATTTATTACAAAAAAAGTTAAAAATTATGCTTTTGACATTGGGGACCTGCAACAAGCTAGCAAAGAAGGGCGTGCTCAGGGGTGGATAGCTGAAATACTCATGACATTAAGAAGCAAAGGTGCAAAGGTGCATTGTGAACATCAAAGGTATATTGTGACGAATAGATTGTACAGCTATTGTGGGTGATTGTGGGTATTTGTCGTACCTAAATCGAAAATAACAAAAATTAATATTTTAACTTTGGGTAAAATATAAGTACAGAATTATGACTTACACAAAGAGCGAAAAAATGACGTGACTGTGACTGCAATTATAACATGTCTATAACCATCAACATTTAAGATGAACCGCAATGCTAAAGCACTAATTACGGTGAATATACCGCACATCGTTTAATTAATGCTAAATAATGTGAATATACAAGTTTAGTTAGTTGTGGTGGAGGAAGGAATGAAACCTCCTCAATTAGCTAAGAAAGCCGTTTAGAATCTACAAATCCTCGTAATAGAGGGTGTAGAGAGAAGGTCAATCTAGAACCAACCAGATGCATATATAAAAGCAATAATCTGGCCAATGCTAATGCTAGAGATATTTTCGAATGTATTGAAGTAGGGAGCCCCCATAAACTTAAGACTAGTTCTGGCAAAGTTTGATCATAGGCACATCATATGCTCTGGTGTCCTTTCTTCAAGAGATGGTAGACATGCTTTGCAGGAGATACCACAGGGTAGGCCAAGTCTCCACGTCGTCCTATGATCCAGTGTCCTGTAAAGGCAGATATTAACCTAGATACCTCTGATTTGCTTCTGTGTATTAAATCAGTGGTTTTACATTTGAAATAGATAGGCTATGTAGGCATTGACCTGACTACTGAGTCGGCAAAGGTCCATTCACTATTTGCTTGTCGCAAATAATGGTCATAAATCAGTTTCCGACCGTAGCTGGCAGGGGCAGGGATTGAAATAGGAGAATCCGTGGAAGAGGCACTTAGTCTAGAAAGCTAATTTGCGCGCTCATTTTCTACAATATTAGAATGACCAGGAACTCAAACTAGAGTTACCTTGGATCTCTCACTTAGTGCGTTAATAAATCAAAACATTCTTGCACTAATCTGGATGAATAAGGTTTTAATAGTTGCCTGACTGTCGGTTAGAATATAGACTTCTTTTCCGCGAAAGTCCATGTTTAAAGCAAGTGCACATGTCCTAATGATAACAAAAATTTCTGCCTGAAATATTGAGGATGGTGTGATTTACTAATCACTAGATCCGTAGAAAATATTCCGGCTCCAATGCCTTTATCCATCTTAGACCCGACTTTATCCCATCTTTTGGGAAGGAATTTTGTTGTAAAATGGTGGGTGATGCCGTGTTATATGAATATAACAACTCGTTATCGGGTTTACCATTCATCTTTCGCAGCACTTCTCTCTTGGAGAGAAGTATGTAAATCTTCTCAAGTGTCGTACATTAAGCGCAGCTGACCTCTGCGTTTTTTTTTCCAACTGCCCCTTCAAACACCTTTTTTGCTTGAGGATCGTCATCCATTTACACAATGTAAGGAAGCCAATGAAGTCACTGGATGTTAATTGATGTTAAGGACTTGATAAGGCTTCTACATCTCATGGTTCATGGTTCATTTAAATGTGGTTGTCGACACCAACTCGTAGAGAACACAAGATCTTACGAAAAATATTCTTCAATATTTTGTGATGCTTCTGCACCCTATAAAACGACAAATAGGATTAAAAACCTATAAAGCGTAGCTTTAATGGAGAGTCATATGAGATATTTATAAATTTTACTTAAGAATAATTTCAACATCTGTTAAACGGTCTTTTAAACAAGTATAATCTTTTAGCTTTGCAATGGTGTTAGTCCCTACTTTAAACGGGCAGAGTTGCTGGTTTTGTTAGTGTCCGCTAAAGAAAGTTTTCACTGTACATGATGATGATTCATTAATATGTTATATATGCTATAGACTAATATTTTATGTTTTTCAAAGACATTAGATAGAGTGGTAAGTAAGCTAATTGGACTGTATGATAAAGTCTATTCTGGTGGCTTTTCAGGTTTCGGAATCACCAATGAACTATGTGATATTTTTTTGTTATGTGTTCAAACATAACGAAAGGAATAAGAACTTGCTGAACAATTGTTAATATTAGGTACGTTCGAACTGTGAATTTAATATTTCTTTACTACTTCCATATAAGTCTAGGTAGCTAAATAGGTCTATATATCCTTATCAAAAAAGAAAATTGAGTGCAAAACACCATTAATTATGTAACATAAAAATTGTTCATATGTAACTATAATATTAAATATGTGTATAATTGTAGTGTATATAAATTCCGCATAAATCACGTTTGAATCGTACTAATTTTAAAATACACTTTATTATACGATTTATCTGTTTACCCAGCATGACAATTATTTGTCACACGCCACTATCATTTGCTTATTAAATTATGACCAGAGTATTTTTATACATAGCTATCTACGATGGTAGTAACCTGCATTTAGAATTATTGCTCTTATTGCATTTATACATAATATTATATTATAAATATTTATTCATTATATGAATTGGAATCATTTGTATATGTAATTTCGCTGCCAAAAGCAATGATTGAATGATAACTAAAGAATATCCATGGGGCTTGTTATAGTACAAGATCATATTTCCTACAGATAGACAAAATAAACAGAGCTAATATAAAATATATTAAATTGTCAACACTGCATATGAATTACTCTTTTCAATTAAGTTTATATAACTACTGCTCTGTTGAATTTTCCTAAAATATATACGTTTAAATAAGCCAAAGTCAAATCACGCTTACAGCACGTCTTTTGCAACGACTTTTATAATTGAAGGTAAGATTTATTTGTCAACCGAAGGGCCGATTGGTTTGTCAGTATAAGTTTATGGAACTTAAAAGCAGACGAATTATATAAATTTTTTTATAGTTTTTTTTTGTATCAATGAAATATGACGACCAATATTTGCATAAAACTTTAGAATGCTTTGTTGGTTTTATTGGGTTCTACTACTATAGCATACTATTTTCAACTGTGATATATGTGAGACTCAGTATTCGTAGGGGATAGTTCGTTAAGTGACATTTTGAATGTTGTATATATGCTTGATATAATCGTTTCGGATAGTCCATTCGCATGGTTAATCAACATATCTGACGGAGTTGCTGTTGTTTGATTTTCTCGCTCCTATTTTGATACCATAAACATAGATTGGGCAAACTTAACACTTGTGAATGTAAAGCTACCACCAACTTTAAAATATTTGTTATTTGCTGATCTTAATTCCTAAGATCAGCA